GGTTTCGTTGAACCAACGTGGGAGACATTTGACACTAATGATGACATCAACTCAGTGTTGAATGCAGTTAGTACCACCAAGGTAAGCCGATATTGTCTTTTCAGTTTTCTTTTTTAAGTTTAGAGTGGATTCAGTTTTTATTTATTAGAACTCATTTCTTTGACATTGTGGTTAATCTGACCTAATCTTGCTTCATGATTGCTGTTGGTAGCACCTAGTTTTTATTTAATCAAGATCATTTTGTGTTGACATTAATAAGAGATGGTGCCATATCGCGCACATTTTCAAATATTGACGGATTCCAGGTTAATCCATATATGAGTCATTGTTAAGAATAGTGACGGGAAAAAGAAGGTTAAATTTCAAATTAAAAAACTAGCATTCATTGTCATGTTATAAACATTTCTTGTTAACATTCTGTAGCTGATGTAAAGTATCCATTATTTTGCACCTTCCAAATAGTATGGTTTCAAGGTTCCAGTGAATCCACTTTCCTTTCTAATAGCATATCGGTTACGTAGCACTTTGAAACTTTTTGTTTTTGTTCCGGACTGGTTCATCACAAGGAGATGGCTTTTCTTAGAAGAGTCGTCTTTTACTTTCGACGATTTTGTTCCTAGCACCCCATTCTCAACCTTCAATTCTAGATATTCACCGCCATGATACAAGGATAGTTCAGAACCTTCATTTGACACCGTCTTTAGGTTTGATTCGTTCAAAAACACACAAGGTACTAGAATTTTCCCTCAACCAGAAACACTAGGAAAATTTGATTCTATGCGCAGCAGTAGAGATTTTGGTCTAGGGTCGTGGTTTTCCAACATTTGATGACATCCTAGACTCTTTTGGCTCTTCGCCACCATTTAGTTCATCGATGGACAGTTAAATTCCAAGAAGAAACTCGAACCCCTTTCAAATCTTTGGTGCCATTTCAGACGTCATTGGACAATCAAACTCCAAGAAGAGAATCAGATTTTTTTTGGGTCTTCATCACCATTTTGGACATCATTACACAGTTAAACTCCAAGAGGAAACTCGGACTCATTTGGGCCTTCTCCATTTAGGACATCATTCGACGCCCAAACTCCAAGAAGAGACTCCGACCCATTTGGTTCTTGAGGGGAAATGATCCTCGCCAGATCATTTCCACCAAGTCCACCAAGGCACATAATCTGGACCTTTGAAATTTGATCTAACAGCTAAAGTTATTATAACTTTTAAAGTGGACTCCTATTTGTAGTCGTTGAATCAAATTTTAAAGGTCTGGATTGTGTGCCTTGATGGACTTGGTGGAAAGGATTCGGAGAGGATCCTTTCCCGTTCTTAAGGTCCTCTTCGGATGCTAATGGAGATTCTAAGAAAAGACTCTGATCATTGGAGAGCATTTTAGCCTGGTAGTTGTTCTACTTCATTTTTGCGTTTGGTGTACCACTCTGTGTACCGGTCATACTGAAAAATGTCTCCTCCCTTTCCATCCCCTCATATTTAAATGGTTACGATTAAGCCATGTTAATATCTTGTTTTGAATTTTTTTACATAGAGAAAAAGACAAAAATAAGAGTGTGGGAGAAGGGGAGGGAAATGGATGGTAATAGGATGTAAGAGAACCCTACTCTGTTTGCTATTTTTCGCTCCAAGCTTTTCTACTATGGGTGGGATTGGCCTTATGTTTTATGCTTTGAAATCACTAAGCTTTTTTTTTTACCAGAAACGATAGCATAGCCTTTCATTAATCAACACCAAGCAATTACAGAGTGTCATTGGGTACATAATTCTAGTGACCAATAAATTGATTTGGAATGAATTTGCACAAAGTAGACAAATAACATTAAACCCCTAGTAAACACCCATAGGGTCTATCACACAGTAGCCAAACGCACAAAACTACTAGTACAGATCTGTCACAATAACTGATAGCAGCAACAGAGAGATACCAGTAGACACAACGGTCATCGCCGAATAACGAGGCCACAAAAATCATCGCAAAAGTGCGAGACCACAACAAAGTCATCGTTAGCAACGAGACTCACAATAACAACGCACAAAGACGAAGACCAAATTAGCCAAAACACCAGTGCTATCACAGTGCACAAAGGCGACAAGAACTAAACTACACCGAGAAAGACTCGATGAACAACTCAAAAGTAGGGGGATCGAGGCACTCAGGCCTAGATCACCTACAAAATCCGGACAGTGAGACGCCGGCGTCCACGCTTAAGCTAAGTCGAGTCGCAACAAGACGAACTAAGCCACAACTAGAAGAGTCGAGTTACAATAACATGAGCTGCAACAAGCCGAGTCGCACCAACATGCTCAAGCCGAACTAAGCCCCAATGAGACAAATGCGCCAAGCTCTCAGACCAAGCCGAACCTCCAGAGCAGAGAGCACCGAAGCTGTTGAGGAGGGAGACACCACCATGGAAACCGAGTTGATGATAGGGGATCCAGCCCACATGCAGCACATATCTAAACCCCATACTAGGAAACGAGCGCCAATTGAAGAAGATCTTGAATGGGCAAGGCCCGGGTTGGGGTATAAGGCATAGAACCATGTGTATTTGCACCCAAAATGGTGGGAGAGAAGCAAGGAAGGGGAAATGAGGAAGTGAAAGGTCGGGAAGGAAGGGTCGAAGTGAGGTGGTGGGAAGAAACGAGAATGGCGAGGGGAAGATGATGGATGAGAAGGGGAAAATGTGGGAAATGAAGGAAGGAAGAGCTAGGAAATGGAGGGGAAAGGCTCTCACCGGCCCCCAGCCATAGCCAGAGGTCGGCGACGAAGGGGGTGATGGCTAGGGTTTGTTGGAAGAGGGAGAGCTTTTTGGCAGAGGAAATGGAGGTTAATTTTTGTTTGAAATCACTAAGCTTGTAATGTATCTTTTGTATTTCATTTCTTTGTGTATGCATCTTGCTTTGTCTCCATTCTTTCTTCTTTTAGCTTGTTGCACGATGTATAATATTCCTCCTTAATTTTAGAATGTTCTTAGTCCTATTAAAGTGAAGATTCACATAGTTTTATCGTTGTTACAAATTTGATGGTTGTATTGTTCAACTGGGGTTGTGCCTTTCTTTTTTCACCCTTAATTTGTTGTAAGTTTTTTCCTTCTCTAATAAAAGTTGTTTTGCTGATCTTTTTTTTTCAGTCATCGAACTATCGCGTATTTTTTGTTTTGTTTTGTCAAATGTTCTAACAATTGCTCTTGGTCGTGAGATTTTTGTTTTGCCGTGGGCCTGGCATATTAATGTCTAAGTTTATGATATAAAGGTGAATTTAAAGATAACAAATGTTATACATTTGTCCATAACTTGTGCTTTATAATGTATAAACAATACCAAAATAACAAAAGCCTTACCTCTGCTATCGTTTCGCCTAAAAAAAAAAGCCTTTCCTTTTGTCTTATTTTTTGTACAGACAAGTTAGCTAAGTACAAATCTGCCGTAAAATTTTTCCTAATCTATTGAGGAATGGTGCTTAAGATTGTTGGATTAAAAGTCCGAATCATCTTCGTTTCCACTGGGTTTAGGCCCATGATCATCACTTTGATTTGCTTCGGACTCATCACTTGATCCACCACCTTTGTAATTATCATCTGGTCTTGTTTCTTATACTTTTGGGGTGCGTTTGTTGCACCAGACTATCTCGGACTGAACTAGCTTCATGGACTAAGCTGGATTGGCTTAGACTAGACTAAGTTGGACTAACTTAATGAAGTGTTTGGTGCAGTGTATGACTAAGAAGCAGGATAATGAAAATAGTTCCATTTTAATTTGTTTTCTATTAAGATAATTAATCAAAATTAAAATTGTTGGATGAGTGAGACTCAATAAAAAAAAAAATACCAAATTTAGAAAAGAACTCATGAATATAACAAAAGCACTGTGTATTGGAATCTCAAAACAAACAGACTGCAACGGAAGTTACAACTTGTTTAGGATAATGGTACAAAATTGCAGTGTTCTAAAAAACGCTTAAGGTGGCTGCCTAGGCGTTCGGCGGTGGAAGCCTGCTGCGATTTGGGGAAAATCGTTTGAAAAATCGGTGGGAACTTAGGCGGCCGCCTAGGCACTCGCTAGGCGCTCTAGATGGCACTAGGCGGTGCTCTAGGCGGTCTGAAATTCTTGTTGTCACACAAGGTGCTCTGCAACTCTCGTCACCACTGAAGGCTCTGCAAAACTGCAACTCTTTCACCTCGAACTCTCGTAGCATCTGCAACTCCAAGTTTCCAACACCTGCATAGCATCTCGCACCTCACATTTGGCATCTGCACCTGCATCAGAAACTATGGCTGCTTGCTAGAGATTTCTAGAAAAAGAAAGGGAGCGAGAGAAAGGAGAGAGAGCGGTTTTGGGTTTTTGTGTCATGGGCTCACGGGAAGAGTGAAAATTTATGTAGGGAGAGGAATTTTTGTTTGACTTTGCCACATGTGTGATTTTTTATGACTAAAATAAATATATTTTTAATGAGGGAAACCTGGTCCAATTGTTTTTCCAATTAAAAACAAAGTCCAACTATGATTAATATATATGGGGTAAGTAAATGTTACAAAATTAACAAAAAAAAAAGTTCTCAAATTATACACATATACTCATATTTTATAATATATATTATAAATTTATGTAAATCCGCCTAGACTGCTAGGCCCCAGCTTGCTGCTCGATTAATGTCTAGTGTTTTTTAGAACCTTGCAAAATTGTATGAAAACATTTTTTATTTTTAATTTTTTTTTATATCTCGTCATACAAGATGTTTCACCATGTAAGGCCCTTTAAGCTCGTAACCTAATTTCTTATAGTAATGACAAGTTCCTACTCCCGAAATATCAGCAATCTTTTTCCATCTATGCTCCTTGCTAGCGATCCATGCGGCCTCCACCGTTAAAAGGGTACCATAACCCTGTTCGAAACAATTACGGAATGGAGTTTGATGAGGCAGAACCTGCTCACAGGGCAAAACTCAAGCCGTAAGACTCACAAAACAAGATGAAAGTCAGTGAAACAAGAAGTTCCAGAACAATGAGATCCAGAGTTCATCTATACATGCTGAAGCGTAAATTACATATTCTACTCAATCTTACAATCATCTTCTCAAGAATTCATCTTTCATCAGCCCCGCACATTTGCACATAGCAAGAATAGAATGATGATTTCATGTGAAAAACCGCTCTCACACAACTAAGAGTTATATCAGTTACTCAGATGCTTCACTACAACCCTTGCATAAGTAAGCTTCACACAAAGATACAAAGATGCAAAATTACTTGGCCTCAGTTTATAGAATCAGTGGGCAATGGTGGCTGAATACAATCTTACCCAAAATTCCAAAGTAAATGCGTGTGATATAATATGTGCATGATTGTTTTCTCAATCCTACATTGCAGAGAGGATCATCATTGATATGTCACCGGTTCCCTTGCGTAAGCACTCAACTTGGGTTGTCATAAAGAATTCTTATCCCTTCTCAATGCATTTTTGTCCTGCTTTAACAACCTTCCTCCATCGAAGACAAGGACGCGGTAGTTGGTGGGATGGTCAGGCGAGGTCGTTCAACAGGACGAGGACTAAGACACGGTAGGGAGTGGTGGGTGACGCTGGATTGGTCGAGCAGTTGAGCAGACGCCAGAGAGAGGACGATGGTCTTAGCAGTCCGTGGGTTTTCGGGGGGCTTCGCGAATGAGACTTAATCTCATTAAACTTAGTCCATGTGAGAAACGAACACTGGATTGCACTAATTTTGTGTCTAGTCTAATCCAGTGAACTCTAGTGAAGGGAAACAAACACACCCTTGGTTCCCTCGACTCAGACATGATCAAATTTGAATTTCTCAGGATCTTGGGCATACAACAGGCGTATACCACAACTTTCCACCTTCATATGGGAATAAGAAGCAGGTTCTCTTCTTAAAACCACCGGGCAGAATTCAACAGAGGCCTCATTGGCAAGTTTGTAAACATCAGGGGAGCATATTTTTGCTACATCTTCACTTCTAAAGGCTCTATTCCACACATACACGTGATGCTGACCATAACAGTAGTCTTTCTGGCTGCTTCTTGGGATAAAGAATGAAGAAGTGAACAGTTCATGTCTTTCACCCATGAATTTGACAATGAAATTAGCACTTACACTCAAGTCATTCTGCGGCTTTGAAACCCCAGAAACAACAGCAGAGAGAGCGAATCCCGAGAAGCCTTTTCGAAACCAGTCTGGACAAAGCTTGATGTTCACTGAAGATCCCTCACTTTGATCACCGAACCAATTTGGAATTTCTTTTCCCGGACATACAACGTTAATACGAGGCCGAGGGTACTTTGACGGCGCAGTTGCCACTTGCATAATTCTAAGCTGTGCATCGTCCATTATGTTGCTCCTTGCGTTCTTGTCCAATTCTGGACAATTAATAAAAATTTTGCAAAAATAATCATATTTATCCAAACCTTGCGTGAGCGCTGTCCTTGAACTTGACACCGTCTTCAGCGATGTGCAATCTTGTGCTCTAAGAAGACGTACTCCTGGGAGCTCTGGTAAATATTGAAGCTGCTTGCACCCATATAAGCAGAGGCTAGACAACTGAGATGCTTGTTTGATGCTTGCAGGGATGCTCCTAATCCTGGTTCCACACAGATTTAAGTCTTGCAATGAGGTTGAGCAAAAGAGACCATCAGGGATTTCAAATATACCGCTGTAGCTGAGAATTAGTTCTTTCAAAGAGAGAAAACCGACAGAGCTGGAAGGCAATTTTTCAAGTTCCCGACAGGCATAAAAGTTGAGACTTCTAAGATTTGTTAAACTGTAGATACTTGTTGGGACATCCTTAAGGTACTTGCAGTCCATAAGGTCTAAAGTTTGAAGCCCAATTAGATTTTCAATAGACGAAGGAAGCATGTCGACAGCTGTCCCTTGCAAACTAAGAGACTCCAAATGTTCCATTGGCTTCAAGATTTCAGGGAATTTGGAAAAGCTTGAGCAACCTTTGAGATCAAGTCTCTCAAGATATTTCAACTTACATATGTTCTCTGGGATACTTGAAAGCCATTTGCAACCTTGTAGCTCAATTTTTTTGAGAGCAGGGAGAAACTCGATTGATGAATGTAGCTCTTGGACCGCTGTTCCACTTAAACAAAGAGACTCCAAATGTTCCATTGGCTCCAAGATCTTTGGGAAGTCTTCAAGTTTCGGGCACCCATAGAGATCAAGTAACTTAAGATATTTCAACTTACAAATGTGGGTTGGGATACTCACAAGCCTCTTGCAATCCAATAATAATTCACTTATATTCCTGGGAAGCTCAAAAATCTCATTAAGAGATGTGCAAGAGTGTATGAGAAACAAATCGGATATGTTCAGCTTACACCTGTTGCTTGGAAGTTTCTCAAGGTCTTTACAACCATTAATATTCAAGTAAGAAATCTTTTGATTAGACCAAACTGATTTGGGCAACTCCTTTATACCACTGGTACATAAATCTAAATATTCAATATTTCCTGGCATTTCTGAAAGATACTTGAGACTGGTGCATTCTCCAAGATCAAGATGAGTAAGCTTGTCAAGAAGTTGAAAATACCAAGGAATTTCAACCAATCTGTAACAGCCACGAAGATTTATGTGCACAATTTTTGGACACCTAGAGAGATTTGGAACTTCAGTTAGATTTGTGGACCATGCCAGATCGATAACTTGTAAATTCACAAGTCTCTGCAACAACAAATTAAATAGAAATATCAAGAATCAATAAGCGTGACTTCCTACACTGCATTTTATAAAATAACTGAATACGCATACATACCTGGTCTTCTTTCCAAAGCTCCTTAACTTGGCTTTCGGGCATATGAAGCTCAACTAGATTTTCATGAGAAAAGTTTGAGGGCAAAGATTTCAGAGGATATCCACACCAGTAAAGATAACGAAGAGAATCGGGAAGATCTAGAGAAGCGTTTAATTTGCAGTAATTGCCAAACTGTTCAGAGTTGACAACAATTAGCAATGTTAGGTTAGACATCTTTTTGAAATCTGCACGTTTCAACCGTAGCTCTTTAATCTTAGACCAATTAACCAATATGGCTTGAACATTTGGAGTTCCCTGACAATAAGAGCAAATTTTCAACGTGAATAAAACATATAGACATAAAGCAAAATCAATCAAACCACAAATCTAGGAATCTGACTTCTTGATTATATATGAGCATTTCTTTGGTGTGTTTTCATCTAAAATTTTCTATTTGTTTTTACTCGTATAAAAAAACAAATCCGAATGCATTTGGCACTTACCATGTTACTTTTCAATACATGATAGACATCTTCATCGTTGAACAACCTATTACGTTTACTAGGATCTTCAATACATTGTTCTTGAACAATTGTCCTTCCCATTTCTTGTAGCAAATCATGCATCTCTATGGTTCCCAATCCCCTTTTTGAAAGAAGTGATATGAGAGACATATTAGTGAGAATTCTAATTCCAGCTGCCGCAAAGAATCCACGGATATCTAACATTGGTTTTACCTCATCCACATCCCTCCCTTTATGAAAACATGCTATATCCAGAAATATCTCTTTCTCATTTCTTCCCAATCCCTCGTAACTTATTCTCAAAACTTTCTGGATATTTTCACTGGGGAATCGTTTCAATTTGTTCAATTCATCTTCCCAGTCTTCTTTGCTCTTGCAATCGAAGAACAAGGACCCCAAAACTATAAGAGCTAAAGGAACGTGTCCAGCATAATGCACCACCTTTTTTGCCAACCTATTATGATCTGTTCCAGGACTACTATTATTCTTGAAAGCACGTGAACAAAAGAGCTGAAGAGCATCATCTGTTTCTAATCCCTCAACCTCGTAGATCTTATCATCTTCAACAGTTTGTCTAAGTATGCTCCTATCTCTACTTGTGATAATGATTCTACTTCCAGTGCCATACGGAAGACGATTGCTAGCTAAACGTTCCATTTGCAATGAACTACTCACATCATCAAGAACAATGAGAACCTTTGTACGGCTAAGCCTTTTTGAAACACTACTTGACCCTATGGATTGACTTTTTACCTGTAATATCTTTTGAAGAAGAAATTTTTCCAAGAGATCTAGTCCATTTATTTGTTCTGAGATCTCCCTAACATTTCGAAGAAAACAACTAGCTTCAAATTCAGAAGAGAGTCTACGAAACACAGCATCAGCAATCGTGGTCTTGCCAATACCACCCATTCCCCAAATACCTACAGTGATGCAAGCGTCCTGTGAATGAATGTCTAACAGCGATTCAATTTGCTCGATGCGGCTTTCAATTCCAACTAGGTCTTCTAAACCGCATGATGATTTGTGACACAATTTGGTCGAAATATCCTCTACAACTTTCTTAACTAAATCAGCATCCGTCCTGGCATATATATACATGATTATGTAGGAAAGTAATAGTTAGTCTTAAATATATATACCTTACAAGATCTTAGCACAAATAAAATTGTCACAAGTTTAATGAAAATTTATATTTTATACAAGTAAAGAATTAGTTGGTTACCTAAAATTTTTTGAATCAAAACCAGATATATTTGCTGCTTTCGTCAGAGCATCCCTCCACTTGCGCACCTTGTCGATACTGTTCTCGAAACGTTGCTCGATTAGATCAAACGCAAACGCATAACTCCCCTGTTGTTTTCGTACGTCCGATGGAAGGATGTCGTAAAAAATGGGTATAACCAACTGACCATTTTTTTCCTTGCATTCTATGATATGCACAAGCTCATCCAAGCACCATGTGGAAGAAGCATAGTCTTTCGAGAAAATGATCACCGAAAGCTCTGATTCCTTGATTGCTTCGAGAAGGGCAGGTGCGATTTCATCTCCTCTCTTAAGCTTGTCATCCACGTAGGTTGTGATTTTTTTCTCAAGTAAGGCAGCGTGAAGATGGCTGGTAAAAGTACGGCGGGTGTCCTCACCTCTGAAACTAATAAACACATCATACGTTTTTGTATCATCAGCATCAGCAGCAGCAGCAGCAGCAGGTGAAGAAGAAGAAGAAGCCATATCCGTAACCACTAGTTTTCAGATCCAAGAAGCGGTTGCTGAGAGATTAACTGTTAATTAGAGAGAGGGGAGACTAGTTCAGAATTAAGGAGGATCCAATGAAGCAAGAAAGAGAGAGACGGAGACTAGTTCGGAATCTACTTCAAATTGGCTTTTGACTACTTTGCACAAAGTTCCGAAGGCTCCTTTAGGAAAATCAATCAGTGAGAGAATAAAAGTAGAAAAAGGGGCACATGGGATGGGGTCTCCTTTACGCACTTTACGTGCATAGTTGTGAACTAGAGATTTCCGCGGAAGTGTCAAGCGAATTATAAGTGCAGTATGCAAATAAGGGATGAAGTGTCGGTATATGGGTATGTAGAGACTATTTATACAAAACATGTACAAAGTATTCACATAAAACCATATAGTAGTTGTTGATAACTTAACCATCTACACTGATATTATACACATATTAAGAGTTGTTCAAAATATAACTGCTCTATTTTACCGATGTACTCCAAAAATTGTAGTCTTTTTTTACCACTGAAGAGTAGCTAGTAGCTAAATTATATTTACAGAAAACAACAGGTTAGCATTCTAAATTTAAAAAATTGTTCAAAATATAGCGGCTTCTAGTATGAAGTAGGAGTTACCCAACTTGTTTGGTGCTGACCTTCAATGATTCTACACTCTTGAGATTTACTCTTTTTTCTTTGTGGGTCCTCTGTTACAAATTAGATCACCTAAATAAAGAATCCAGCAAAAATTAGTCATAATTTTTCATAAGCTGCATGTGAATAATGGCTATAAAAATAAGCAAGTAAAACAAAGAAATGATATTGGGTAGAGAAATTAGTTAATCCATCTACAACACAGATTGTTGTACAATAATGTGTGAGAAGAAAGAATATGGTCATTCACAGTAAAAAAGATATCATGCGTATAATTCGTTTTAACAAAAATTTATTGTATACGTGTGTACTTATCTTTAAAAAAAAAAAATCAACACACACACATTATATTTATTTCACAACACTACACACATGCATATAACTACTATCAAAGACAAATAGTATTTCTCTCTTAAACTTTGGTTGTTAACCCTTTCTACATATTTTTGTTAAATTGTAACTTAATTGATGATTCAATTACAATATTCTATATGAAAAACACTTATTCTCAAGCCACCTGATTTTGGCATTTGGGTTGGGGGGCACAATTTTCCCCAGAAGGAGCCATCATGTTTTCTACGGGTTCCCCGTTATTAATAGAAGGATAAGTGACAATTGAAGTCCTTCGGTTCGTATCACTGAGTAGGATTGCCAACCAAATAATTTTGAAAACATCATGCTTTTCAGTCATTTGTCATTGTTCTCACCTAAATTTGAAATTCGGAGACGGTGAGTGATGTTGTAATGATGTATTATGAAATCATGTTGTAATTATGCATGGAACATAGAAGAATGCAGAAAGACGGTTTTCTAGTGCTGTTAATAACAATTCTTAAGCCAATAGTTTTAAATTTATGAGTATAAAGAGCATAAATTTAAAGAGTATAAATTTATGAGTCCTAAGATAATATATTACTTGAAAAGAAAAAGAATAGTTTTCTCTAATAATAGGACTACTGTTAGATTGAATAAAGATGAACGAAATTGTATATGAAAGTCAGTATAACATATAATGTCAAATATCTCATGATTTCACAATCCTACTCTTTATATTGTCAGACAATACCATGATTCATAACTCTGAATTAGAACATGAAATGAGTTGTTCGAGTAATGACACATACTTATTTTTTAACTGGTGACAGAATTTCGAACAGATGTTAGCATGTTATCTTTCTTATTCACATTTTGAATTCATCCTTTAACAACATAGCAAGGCAACCTAATTAACGCATGAAAAAAAGCTTAAGAAAAAATGTAAATGCTTTCGAAAAAATTCCACTTAAAATTAACTTTCACGAATGTTAGTAAGGCAGAAGAACCTTGTAAGTATATGCTAATACAGATTATAATTCATTGCACACAGAAAGAACTCAAATAACCTAAATAAATAAATAAAACTAACACACTTATAAATCATTCAAAATATATAGAAAGGGAGAAATGTGAAGCAACCTGTTGGAGTTCACCTCTGCGATTAATTTCCATCTAGAATCCTACACCATAAAATAAACATTAAAACAACACCTTAGATAGCCACCATGCTCTTTAAATTCCTCAAATCCCTTATACATCACAAAGAGAAGCACATGCATCTAGAGAATTGAATATTAGTATCACTACTATGGATTCAGTTTCATTGTTGTTTCTTCTCTTTGTTTTCAATTCTTTTGATTATCCCCAATGAAGTCAAAACCTATTAAATCAATCTGGTCCAATCGAGTATTTTGAAGTTCTATATATATTATATCTTTGTAAAGTTTTATTCTCATTTTGCATAATGCATTTTATTGATCGAAACTGTGTTTATATTTAACCTTCATATTCAAGAGTTATTCTCGCAACCAATCATTCAAATCCTAAAACATACACAAAATCATGACTCATTAGACAAAATTGTAATGAAAATGTCAAAACAATCGAACAACTAATCAATTGTTGGTTTAGCTGATTATTTGCATTCTTGAAAGAAATTCTAAAAGTGAACAATTTGGACCATTGATTGACTACACATTGAAAAATAGGATGATCATTTTATAGAAAACCTGTATATAGGTGAGTATGTTTATGAATTTTTGTAAGTGATTTGGTAAAAGCATTCTTTCCTTTTATAAAAAAGAATTGGTTTACTCAACAAGAAAACAATTGGTAAAAATATTACTCAAAGGATTGGAAGCTCATAATCATTCGGCTTGTCGGCAAAGGAAGATAGGATGTTTTATCGAATGTGCAATTGTACAACTTTATTATCTATCGAATGTGCTACATCAAAAAGAGAAGCACATGCATCTAGAGAATTGAATATTAGTATCACTACTACGCATTTAGTTTCATGAAAACAAAGCACATTGAATTGAATTACACAAAGAAATGGACAAATAGAAGCAAAGTATACCATCTAAATCTTCGTACCCCGTCGAAAATCGAGCCAAGTCTCCGGACCAGCTGCCTCTACCTCCTCTTCTAATCAAAACTAAAGCAAAGTTGAAGCGATTTTAGTGAACTCCCAAACCCCTATTAACAGATAGGAAAACCATAATAGTATACCTAACACAACTATCAAATAAAAGGAAGATTACTGCAATTTCAAATGCACTTTAACTCACTAAAAAGAATTCTAAGACATCAAACACCATTTCAATATTAAAAAACGACTCCGGAACGTAGTAGTATGCTCCACCAAAGATTAACTCATAATTCAAGAGCCGTAAACTATCCATTTCCTAAACGCTCATATCCAGTAAGTTGGCAGTTAAGTTTTCTTCTTTGAGACAAAAATGAAACTTTTGAGAAATAAAAAAAGAATGAAAGGAAAGATCCCAAGCCATAAATCATACAAAAACTAACACCTAAAGCTTAAACTTCACTACATTCTGGTTTCTTCATTAACCCAAATTTTCTTGACAACCAAACAAAATGTAATGCCATACAAACTAGTCTCAAGTCATTTCGATGTTAAAATCCTAAAAAAAAAAAAAAAAAATTTCTCAAAAACCCTAGGAGAGAGAACGATGTTGCTAGGGCACCAAAACCTAATTTCCACAGTCACAGGGGCAAGAAGAAGAAGGAACTCAGAGCGATTGGAGATCGAACTTGGACCAAGTCGGGATCCAGTCTGACTCGGTGAGAGGTGAGAGTCGCAGAGAGAGAGAGAGAGAGAGAGAGAGAGAGAGAGAGAGAGAGGAAAGAAAGAGTACCTGAGGGAGCAGATTAGCGACAACGAGGGTTTTGGGGTCTGAGTCAAACATCAAGTTAGACTGCCCTAAGAGCAGTTCCACCAAGGAGATGAGAGGCCAGCACCCAAGCACTTCAGCCCAGCGGATAGGCTGGCACCCAGCCTGTGCTGGTCTCTAAGCCAGCCCAAAATCGACAGAGGTGTAGGCTGGCCTGTATGACTCCATTTGCCAGGCGTGTGGCAATCACGTGCAACCCTGCGCAAGTAGCCAACACGGAATTAGACGGGGGCCCCGCATGTGCAAGCGCATTCAGCCATCATATGGGGAGACCACGTGGGTCAGCCTGGGCCATTGGATTTCCAACGGTAAAAAAAATTTAAATTTGAATTTTGATTTGGACCGTCCAATCATAGATCAACGATCCACGTTTGTCCTCCAAAAATTAAAAAAAAAAAAAAAGGCACAACGGTCAGAATTATGGCCGTTGGCCACATGGCACCTTATAGGCTGTTAGATTTGAATATTTTTCAAATCCAAAGGTCCAGATTAATTAACTAAATTAAAATTTATTAAAAATTATGAAAAAATTAAAAAAAAAAATTCTATAAATACCTAACCGTCATCTTCCGCCTTAGAGGAGTTCCATCTCTAAAAAAAAAACACCAAATAAAATTACATAACCTCACTATATAAACTTAAGAAAAACACACTAAATAAGATTACATAAACACACCAAGTAAACTTAAAAATAAAAAATAAAAAACCAATTAAATTTACATAACCTCACCAAATAAACTTAAAAAAATAAATAAATAAAACACACTAAATAAAATTACATAAACTTAAAAAAAAATACACTTTATTCTTCAACCACAAGCTCATTCTAATTATCTTCACCTTCTTGCAATCCCCATTAATGCTCAATTAAGTCATTCTGGCAGGTTATGTGCTAGTATGGCTCTTACACTGAAGTGTACCGCTGAACAATCAATTCATTGTAACGTCTATCCCGTTCCAACGACTCATGTTGCACGGGAACTTCGGTCCGGTCATAAGCATATAGATACGTGTTCTTGAGTTGTTCATCGGATCCGGCTCGTATTCATCGGCGACATCATAATCATACTCATCTTCCACAATCATGTTGTGGAAAATAATACACGTCATCATGATGGGTCGAAGAGTCTTGACATCAAACATTCTAGCAGTAGACCTGACAATTGCCCAACAAGCTTGCAGGATACCAAAACAACGCTCCATATCCTTCCTACACCCCTCTAGACATTTTGCGAGGTATTTTTCTTTTTCACTCTGTGGATGTGGCACTATTTTGACAAACATTGACCACCTTAGGTAAATGTCGTCTACAAGGTAGTATGGTCTGTCATATTTATGGCCATTAACCCAATATGTGCATCTCGGCGATTTTCCTTGCAGCAGTTTGTCGAACACTATAGATTGGGTAAGGACATTTAGGTTATTCTGAGCTTCTGGAACACCAAAAAAAGCATGTCAAATCCATGTATCAAATGAAGCCATCGCTTCCAAAATGATACTTTTGGCTCTTTTTATGTTGCCATAAGCTCCTTACCACGTACTTGGACATTTTTTCCAAGTCCAATGCATGCAGTTGATGCTTTCGATCATGTCAGAGAAGCCTCGCATCTCACCATTCCATAGAAGCCTTCGCATGTCCCTTGGCGTGGGTGTTCGGAGGTACTCATTGGTGTAGAGGGCTTCAATTGCAGAGCAAAACTGCATCAGGGACTCCAAAACAGTTGTTTTTCCTATCCCTCACGATCTCTTCCAGTTGATCTGCAGATACTCCATATGCAAGCATTCGTAAGGCAGCCGTAATTTTTGCTCAGGAAAAAGACTTAGAACATGAAAAGCATCATCTTTCTGCACAAAGTATGGATCATGGTTGCAAATAGCACTCATGATTTTGTCGAACAAACAACATCTAAAAACATGATAAGGGAATGCGATGTTAGGAATAAAATAATCTTCCAAGAGATCTTTTCCTCGTCTTTCACTTTTTCTATCGAAGTTTGCGGCACGTCTGGGTTTGGCTATCTGACCCACAGCTTCCATGACACGGCGGGAATATGAGGCCTTCTGTCTTCTATGGTCATTATCCTAATCCTCCTCCATTGCGAAGGCCTCATCTCCACCTCCACCTTCCTCGAGATTGACCAATTCTTCCTGTTGTGCCAACAGTCTTTTCTGTTGCTCCTTGAATTGTCTATACACTCTCCTTGAAGAAGACATTGTAAAAAGAACTCGAGATTTGAAAACGATGAAGAAGGATTCTGAGCTAAAAAGAAGGATTGAGTTTGGTGTGAGGATAGATGTAGAGATGTAGGGTTTATATGGACTAAAAAAGAAAGGATGAGGTTCTGGACAATGTCACGTGACACTACGTGATTGGTTGAAAATCTTATCGAAATCTGGCTAAATTATTGCAAACAGGAAGTGACACGTGGCGCGTTAGGATTGGTTGAAAATCTTATCGAAAATCTATCCATAAAATAGTACATTTGGATAATGACACGTGGCGTGATAAAATTGGTTGAAAATCTTATCGTAATCTTGGCTAAATTATTGTAAACAGATAGTGACACATGGCACGTTGGGATTGGTTGAAAATCTTAGCGGAAATCTATTCACAAAATAGTACGTTCGGATAATGACATGTGACGAGACGAGATTGGTTAAAAATCCCATCTAAAATTAAAACTATTTTATTTATTTATTCTTGTATAAAAAAAATTTAAAATATTTAAATAGGCTGGGTCCAGGTGAAGATCGTTTGTGCCAGTGCATTTTTTTAGAGGTGGAGATGTATTTGGCCTATTACTGTTCATTAGGGTCTATCATTGTTCATTGAGCAGATAAATGCACTGGATGTTGGCGCATTTTTTTTAGGAATGGAATTGCTCTAAAGAGAGAAGAGGAGGACACTAGAGATGAAGGAAAATAAAGATTTTCGATGGTAAAGTTTGGCCAAGGGAGAAGAAAAAAGATCGTATGCAGCGGCGAGTAAGAGTGGTGGAGCGGCTGCACTCTGTAGTCCTCTATGAGAATGGTAATTTACTGAAGAAAATCTCGATTGTCAATCATCTATTGGCCAAAAGAAAAGTTATAATTTCCAGCATCTAGCTTGTGAAAATGCTATTTATTTGTTACTTCGTGTCGTTTTCGTGTTATATATGTTTTTTTAACTGATCGTATTGTGTCAATGGTACGACTCGTTAACAAGTTGATTCTATACCTGCTATTTTCGTATTGAGTAAACAAGTTGTGCTAAAAACTGTCAGGCTTACTCTAATTGTTAGATTTGATTTCTACAACGAACAAACTTCTATCTCAGGCATTCATTTTCCGAGTGGTACATACTACTGAAGAAAAATTAAAACATTTAAGCTTTATGTACACTTTTTTATGATAATTATTATTGGTATTCTGAAATAGTCATCGTGCACTTACCAGAGTTTTAGTTTAGGGAGAGCTTAGAATTATGTTATAACTTTGTAGCACACGTTCAAAAATTCCAAAATGTCGCTTGTAAGAATTATTTGATACTTCTTGTTGATGAAGGCAAACAATATAATAAAATTTCAAACACAACTATGTATGAATACAATTTTGACTCGCACATACATGACACCAACTATAAACATAAGGTTCAAGCGGCCCTTTATCATAGTGAGGGAAAGGAACGTGAGTTCTTACCTAGTCGGTGACTAATCTAACAAAATCTATCGTTTGTTAAAAAAAAAAAAACAAAAAAAAAAAAAATTATAAACAAAAGGTGACCGGCCGGCGACAAGGAGCCAGTCAACGGTGTAGGTGGCACTCCTTGTAGTGGTTGGGCCATTAGGCATGTTGGCTCTACCATTTTGCCCTATAAAATGCACAAAAATATGAGTCACAATAGTTAAAACTTACAAGCATATATTTTAGTTACTAAAATATTGAGTAAATCCACATGGATTGTCCTCCTTCTGTAATACAACTCTAATATGAGAGAATCTTGAGTCAGGTCGTCAAATTACGTGATTGTTCCGCCCTTTTAATATTTGTAAGTATATCGACACGTTATTGACTATTGACATGTCAATCATATTATTATACTTCGAATACATGTTTATCTAGGTGAAAAGTAAATGATAAAAGGGCAATATCTTATTAGGTGTCTAGAGATGACCCACGGTCAGACTCTTCGACCTAAGATTTCCTCACTAACAAAAATCGAGACTTACATATGATACGCTACAAAGGTGGTGTTGCAAACTAATCATGCATTATTAGTTTAGAATACCATCAACGTACTAATTAAATGTAGATTAGATAAGTCATTCAAGATTGGAAAAATACTTAAGTGTAACGTTGTTTTTCACATGATAAGTCATGTAACTTTTAACTGGACAGATAGGTCCCTACCTAAGTTTACTACCTCTTTTAACGATGATGATACACAGAGATTAGGTTGTATGCGTAATTACCTGCATGGTGTGCTCCTGCAATGACCACAAAAACAACGAAAGCTGGAATTGTAATTCCAAGAATTAATGGTAGCTTGCTGCTGTCACCACCACCCAACGACCTTCATCCCAAAAAAATAGAAGCTAAACTTGTCAACAACCAAAAAAAGCAAAGAAAAACGAGAAATATGTGAAAACATAATCGGTTTAGACACTTTTTTTTAATCAAAAAAATTAAGATTTGAGGAACACTAAACAAACAATAATATGACACTAAATCATAGTTCATATACGGTTTATTGTCATCTAAATTCTTAGTAGAGGACAAAAACTGTGGCTAAATATCTATAGTGTAATATATTAGGAGACATTTTCTGGGAAAATCTTACAATTGAGTTTAGGTAAGGTGCCAAGAAAATCAGGAACGGCTCCACCCAAGCTGTTGTTGTGTATGTCTCTCCTTCAAAACATAATTTACTAGTGACATGGATAGAATTTGAAAACTATTTATAGGTCCCTTTATATTTAATCATATTTTCTAATTTAAAGTATTTTTTTACCAACTAACTCTTGGTTTAGCGATAGTTTTTTACTTTGGTAATGTTGGAACATTCGAAGCCTGCATCTTCCATTGATGATCATCTAGTGATATTTAAATAAGTAAATCATATTATGTTATAAAGCTATTAATAAAATCATCATGCAACTGTTTCAACGATATCAAAATTTATACTAATGTATCTACCAAGTTCTCTAGCTAAGAATATGTCAAAAATAAAATGCCAAAACATGTCCCAAACAACACAAAACTGATATAGTGTGTTTTACCTTGGACACCATGGTTGTCAATGGTGCAACAATTCCAGAGTTCTCTGCGATGGTCAAAAGCATCTCCTTCAACTTTCAAAGATGCAAATTAACTTCATTATGATCTTCTAACAATGGCAACAAAGCAGGATCTACATCATCTTTAGACAACAAATTAACTATCAATTCCACAGTTGATGCATCTGCAGAAAAACCCCTCTCCACCATTTCATGGATAAGTTTCATTGCCCTTGATGTCTTGTTCTGATTGAAAAAACCCCGGATAATTGTGTTATAGGTGCAACCATTTGGTGAACAGCCTTTTTCTTTCATTTCTGTAAGTAAATTCTCCGCTTCATTTATTAGGCCGGCATTACAAAGTCCACTAATCATTATGGTAAATGTCCTGACATTAAGCTGAAGTCCCTTTGATGACAAACCGTTAAAGAGATCCCTTGCGCATTCAACTTTTCCACCTATGCACAAACCTTCAATAAGAATATTGTAAACCACAATATTTGGATCCAATTTCTTGCCTTTCATCTCTCCAAACAATTCAATTGCCTTAGATAGTTGTTGGTTTTTACACAGACCATCTAGTAATATAGCATAAGTTTGAACATTTGGAAGTTGGCCACAAGCTTGCATCTCGGAAAACAGCTTTTGTGCATCGTGTATTCTACCCTGCTTGCAAAAACCATCTATTAGTGTGCTGTAAGTAACTGTATTCGGAACCAATCCTTCACCAGACATTTCCAGAAAAAGCATCACTGCCTCATCTATCATTATCTGCTTACAATAGCCGTTTATCAGTATGTTGTAACTATGAATCTCAGCCACGAGCCCCTTGCTAAGCATTAGATCAAAGACTTCTTTCGCCTTACCCATTTCTCCTCGCAAACAATAACCATCCATAAGTGAATTGTGCGTAACCATGTCAGGCACAATATCTCTTTGAGTCATCATTTCAACCATGTTTTTTGCTTCCCCGACCAAACCCTCCTTACAAAGGGTGTCTACCAAGACACTGAAGGTGTGCACATTTGGAAAGATACCTTTGCTCACCATTTCATTGACCAATCTCGTAGCTTCTTTCCACTCCCCTAATTTGCACACTCCATGAATCAAAGAGGTATAGGTAATGACAGTAGGGGCAATACCCTTACTCATCATTTCAGAGAAGAGGTTCAATGAATCCACAACAAGAGTATCTTTACAGAGACTGTCGATGATCGTGCTGTAAATGACAATGTCAGGCTTGCAACCTCCTTCTTCCATTTTCCTAAGTAGTTGAATAGCTTCAGCGTTGTTACCTTTCATGCAAAGGCCCTTTACTAGTGTGCCGAAAGTAACCACATTGGGCTTACAATTACCACTTTCCATCATTTTATTCAAAATCCCGACAGCATCAGCCTCTCTATTCCGAAGAAGGAATCCATGGATTAGAGTGGTGAAGGTCGCAACATTCGGTTCAAAACCAATTTTGAAGAATTTTCCCAAGACAGATAAACCAAACTCCATTTGGTTGAGATAAGAAAAGCAATTAATGATGATGTTTAGAGTATAAACATCAGGACGAATTCCGGACAGCTCCATTTGGTCATTCAGCGAGATGACTGCCGAATAATGTTTCAACTTGGCGACTTGAGTCAAGACTTGATTGAAACGGACGACGGAAGGCAGTGGACGCATTTGAAGCATTTCGTCGAACACATGGAGTGCATCCTCAAGATTATTGACTTTGACAAGCCGATGCAATTGGGTGTTTTTAGATTTGGTTGGGTAACAAGGTCGAGAGTGAAATGGAGCCAAGTAATTGTTGAAGAATAGAAAAGGAGTATATTTATGAAGAAGACGAGGCACAAGGGACATACCTCTCACTCTGCTGCCGATGCCATAACCAACCTTCAAAGAAGAAGAAGCAGCCATTGTCGTCGTCCGCATCATCTTCAGCGTCTGGGTTAACAAGTAAGAAGATGATGGTTAGGGTTTTATGCATTTTTCAACGCATACAATTACCACCAGCCCTTCTTTCTAACCGGTAATGTTATGCATACCAAATTTCTAACTAAATTGTATAAACTAATAATATGAAGTTTGATGATTAAATTATTAATTAAATATTTATTTACCGTGTTTTTTTATAATGATTTATTATTTAATTGTAAATTTGGTCTTTTTAGCACTATTCTTCCTTATAAGTTCTCATATGACATGAACACGAACATGACGTCTTTCCAAGCCTACTTTTGACTTTTTGAGGGAATTTTTAGAATCAACTTTTTATCTTAAACCTTTTTTTCAACATACGACATGAACACGAACATGATGTCTTTCCAAGCCTACTTTTGACTTTTTGAGGGAATTTTTAAAATCAACTTTTTATCTTAAACCTTTTTTTCAAAACTAATATTATTTCAATGTATTGTCAACGTGGCCTTGTCTATATTTCACCAAAAAAGTGGGTCTTAATCCACGTCATAGTGAATAAAATGCGGTAAAATGAGCGAAGCACATGACTTATATTGGATGTGCGAGGTAAATGTGGTAAAATGTGCAAGGCACATCACTTATATTTAGGATCGGCTAATTCAAATCATTAATTTGTCATCTCACCTTTATACAAAATATTAAGAAGATTACATAGTATTACGGTTTGTTTGGAGGTGAGACTTTTTACTAGTCGATCCTATCTGTATTATAGAAGTGATAAAATGTGGTCTACCTATTATTAAATCGTTTGCCACCGGCATTTAGGTCAAAAACTACCAATATGTCAACGAAAAGGAAATGACTTCTTTTGCCACAAACATCCTGGTTCTCCTGTGTTCCTTTACAATTTGAGAAGCTTGAGAGAAGAGCAGCCCATCACTCATTTCTCTTGGCGGAATCAATATCAATTAATTTAATGAAAATAAAATCTAATGCAACAAAATTATATACTACGAAATAGATACGTATATAATTACAAAAAATAAAATTATGAAACGCAATGAACTAACGGAGTTTGGAAATAGAGGCTTGTAGATTTTCAATGTTCTTGAAATAGAATTTCGGCCATACTCAATGCTTGTAGTTCTAAGGTGTTAGCTCCACCCGAATTCAATTATCTATAATCAAAGTTTCAGCACCAAAACTTTGATTATGGTGAACTTTTGTGTTTTTCTTTCTCAGAAAGTTTGTATGGATGAATATTGCAAAATTGACGTATTAAAATGCATATGGACGTTAGAAATACATAGGTAGTCTGATTCAAATTCAAACAGACGACTGTTTGAAATAATCTGTAAGTTTAAAACAATTTAATTAATCCTTAATTAAACGTTCCAAATAACGTCATAATTCTTAGTTTTTACAAAGGCCATCAAGTAAAACATTGTACAAGCTTGCATATGAGAGAACAAGTTCTTCGTATCTTGTAGTCTCCCCATCTTGCATAAACCGTCAATGAGAGTGATAAGTAACAGTATCTGAACCAGTCATTTCCTAGACATTTCGAAGAAAAGCATCCAGGCCTCATCTTTCCTTCTGTGCTTACAATGACAAGTTATGAATGTGTTGTAACAATGAGCATCAAATGCATAAGCCCTTAGCTGAGCATTAGTTCCAAAACCTTTTTCGCCTCACCCGTTTCTCCTCGCAAACAATAACCATCCATAACTGAATTGTACATAACCATCTTAAGCTGAATATCTCTTTGAGTCATCATGTTGATCATGCTTTTTGCTTCCCGGCCAAGCCCTCCTTAAAACGGGTGTCTACCAAGACATTGAAGGCGTGCAGATTTGAAAGATACATTTGCTCACCATTTCATTAAACAATCTCGTAGCTTCTTTCCACTCTCTTAATTTGCATGCTCCGTCAATCAAAGAAGTATAGGTAATGACGTTTGGGTCAATACGTTTACTCATCATTTCAGGGAAAAGGTTCATTAATGCATCCACAACTAGAGCATCTTTACATAACTGTTGATGATCGCGCGTAAATGACTAGGTTAGGCTTGCAAGTTACTTCTTACATTTTCCAATGTAGTTAAATAGCTCCAGTGTTTTTACCAATCATGCAAAGGCCCTTTCATAACCAATTATGGCTACTAGTACCACTCTCCATCATTTTGTTGAAAAGTATTGCTGCCTCGGCCTCTCTATGCTCAAGAACAAGGAGGTGAATTGTCTACCCTCTCATTTCTATACTCTTCACATGCTCTTCTATTTGTGTGGTCACAGTTAAGCTACGTTAACATTTTATATTCCTATTACTTTTTGTTTTATTATTTCTATTAAAAATTAATATAAAATGTTGACGTGGCTTAACCGTGACCACACATCACAGGAGGACATGAGGAGAGTATAGAAATATGAGGGTAGACAATCCACCTCCCAAGAACAAAGCCATTGATCACAAAGGTCCAGGGAAATGCTGAGGAGTTAGACTCTTTATGGACTCTCCATCACCTCTATTTTTGGTACAATTCCCTGCTAACATTATAAAACATTGTGCAAAAAACATGAGGTGACAGAGAGTATAAGAGTCCCAATTTGAGAGAGTCTGATTAGCATTATTCCCTACTAATTTTATAGAACATTGTGTAAAAAAAACAAGAGGTGATAGAGGATATAAGAGTCTCACTTTGAAAGAATCTGCTTAGCATTTCTCTTCATTACAAGTAGGTATAAATAACCACCACACAAGTTCTGGGAAAGAAACTGTGAACTCACATCATCTGCTGGCCATTGGCACATACTTGGATGTAGATTCTCATGTCTTATTCAATATCCTTTTAATTGGTTTTAATTTGTGTCGTCCTATGGTGCATTGCCGCGTCCCTTTGACTAATTGACACTCCCCCACCACGTAACACGTTAGTGATGTAGTTTTCGAGTTTTGTTTTGTTCTATGCGTGTAGGGTTTTCCATTTGCCAACCAAAAGAAGCAGAGTCCACTGCCGTAGCTTGCTAGCTAAGCTTGGCACACCCATCATCTTACAATTACTATTAACATTCAAATTATAGGCCCACTTGCCAACTGCCCAACAGAGACTTTCTTCCACTTTTTTCTTGTAATAATCTCCATTTATTTACATTATCTACAAGTTCAACTTCAACCTCCTTGGATATATTGAAAAATAAGTGTTGCTAAACTAATAACTAGTTAATTTTATAAAAACTGACAAGTAATGTTGATGAATTGAAAGGTAATATAAAACTATAGCCAGTGATGGAGTCAAAATTTGCATGGTGGGATCAAACCCATTGTAAAATAGTACTACAAAATATACATAAAGCATTATGAACTTTAAATTTTGCTTCACCCGACGCGTCACATGTTATGGGCTCAAAAAATTATGGTTCCATAATAGGTATACAGAAAGAAACACCACTTATGCCTACAAAACATGAGTAACGATTTCTCTATGTAGCATTTATGAAATAGTACACAAAAGAAAAACATAACAGGGTTTCAACTCAAAATGAAAAATCTTCCATGGAGGCCAACCAAAAGTGGCTAGTAGAGAAAACACCAGAAGTCTAGGTGAAGGATGACCTATCGTGGTTCCATAAAACAAATTTTGCACCACAACGCAACCATTGTTCGCCTTAAGTCATAACATATACAGACTTCAAAAGCCCCAAATAAGAAACAAAGTTAAACCACAAACATACAACATCAAAATACCAAAGAAAAACTGTAATTTATCACCAATTAACATACCAACCGAAAGTGGCTAGTAGAGAAAACCCCAGAAGTCTGGGTGAAGGATGACCTGCCGTGGTTCCCATGGTAACCAATTTTGCACCACAATGCAACCATTGTTCGCCTTAAATTGTAACATATACAGACCTTCAAAAGCCCCAAATAAGAAACAAAGTTAAACCACAAACCTACAACATCAAAATACCAAAGAAAAATTGTAATTTATCACCAATTAAAATACCAACCGAAGGAGTAGTCAAACCTCACAGTTATATCCACTGTCCGAGACCAGCAAGAACACATTTCTAACACCGACAAAGTAAGACATGAATTCAAAACCAAAAAAAGGAGGCGGAGAAAGTGAAACCAAGGTCTTGCTTGGATACGGGGACAATGGATGCTTTAGAAACGTACCATTGACTTTGAGTTTATTCTTTAAATGCTAGAGTGATCAAATTGCAAGAGTCATCAAATTGTTAGAGCATATTTTATATGGTTAAACTCATTTTTAAATGATCAATCGCCACACAATGTAAATCACAAAATATAATTTGAAAATTTGACCTCTCTTGTTAAGGAGGTCTGCACATTATATGATACATATTTTTCTATGTGTCTACACTTTATTGGATGATTTTGCTAATTGTTTATGAGATTAATAATTTGAAAAAACAGAGAACAATGATTAGCACTCTAAAGATTTAATTGTGCGTTAAAATTTTTTATGTTTACAAAAAGAAATTCTCTTATAAAAACGTAAATTAGATTTTTAAAGTACCAATAGTTCCATTGCATTATTGTATAAGGAAAACTAATGAAAATGACTTGAAAACTTTGAGTTTTAATGATAAAGACAAAATAAAAGGTAAAGTGAATAGTACCAGGATTAACTTTTTAGTGTAAAAATGTGATTTTTCGTTAAAGTGAACAGTACCGTGAGCTTTTCGTTAAAACTTCCTATTGTATAACTACTATTGTTTTAGCCCTAGTTTGATACTAAGGTGATTCTGAAAAAAATGGCTATAAAAAAATGCTGGGAGCTTTTTTATGTTTGGTAAACATTTAGTTTCAGTTTTTTTTCACAGTTTTGGATGAAAAAAAAGTAAAAAACACAAAGCTGCAAAACCCAGTTTTGAAAAACCAGTTTTTTTTCACATATTTTCACATAAAAGTTTATTAAACATTATAATACCGCTTTTTTTTTTTTTTTTCAAAAGTACTTTTACAAAAAAAGTTTACCAAACACTCTGCTGCTTTATTTCACATCAGCTTATTCTCACAACACAGCAAAAATAACTTTTTTTTTTCAAAGTACAGTAATACCAAACCAGCCATTAGATAAAATATGAGTAGTGAATGATGC